AAACAGCCTGGTACTGGCACAAGAACAGGCATATAGATCAGTGGAACAGAACAGAGAACTCAGAAATCTACCCAAGCCATTATGCTCAATTAATATTTGACAAAGGCGGCAAGAGCATACAATGGAGTCAAGACAGTCTCTTCAATAAATGGTGTTCGGAAAATTGAACAGATACATGCAAAAAAAAAAATGAAACTAGACCACCAACTTACACCATACACAAGAATAAACTCAAAATGGATAAAAGACTTAAGTGTAAATAGAGAAACCATAAAAATGCTACAAGAAACCATAGGCAGCAAAATCTCAGACACCTCTCATAGCAATATGTTTATGGATACATCTCCTGGGGCCAAGGAAACTAAGGGAAAAAGTAAACAAATGGGACATCAAAATAAAAAGCTTCTGCACAGCAAAAGAAACCATCAACAAAATGAAAAGGGAGCCCACTGTATGGGAGAACATATTTGGCAATGATACATCTGATAAAGGGTTAATATCCAAAATATATAAGGAACTCATACAACTTAATAAAGGACAAACAATCCAATTAAAAAATGGGCAAAGGACCTATATAGACACTTCTCCAAAGTGGACATACAGATGGCCAAGAGACATGAAAAAATGTTCAAAGTCACAGATCATCAGAGAGATGTAAATTAAAACAACAATGAAGTATCACCTCACACCTGTCAGAACGGCTATCATCAACAAATCAACAAATGGCAAGTGCTGGCGAGGATGTGTAGAAAGGGAACCCTCCTGCACTGCTGGTGGGAATGCAGACTGGTGTGGCCATTATGGAAAACGGTACGGAGTTTCCTCAAAAAATTAAATGTGGAACTGCCATCTGACCCAGTGACCCCACTTCTAGGAATATATCCTAAGAAACCCAAAACAGCAATCAGAAAGAATGTGTACACCCCTATGTTCATAGCAGCACAATTTACAATAGCTAAGATCTGGAAACAGCCCACGTGCCCATCAGCAGATGAGTGGATAAAAAAGCCATGGTGCATTTACACCATGGAATACTATGCAGCAGTAAAAAAGAAGGATCTCACCCTGACCAGTTTGGCTCAGTCGTTAGAGCGTAGGCCTGTGGACTGAAGAGTCCCAGGTTTATTCCGGTCAAGGGCATGTACCTTGGTTTCAGGCACATCCCCAGTAGGGGGTGTGCAGGAGGTAGCTGATGGATGTTTCTCTCTCATGGATGTTTCTAACTCTCTATCCCTCTCCCTTCCTCTCTGTAAAAAATCAATAAAATATATTTTTTTTAAAAAAAAAGAAGGATCTCTTACCCTTTGAAACGGCATGGAGAGGCCTGGAGAGTATCATGCTAAGTGAAAGAAGCCAGTCAGAGAAAGACAAGTATCACATGATCTCACTCAGATGTGGAATATAAGTAACAAAATAAACTGATGAACCGAGTGGATCCAGAGGCATGGAAGCCTGGAACAGAGTGTGGAATCTCAGAGGGAAGGTAGGTGGGTAGGAGGTAATCAACCAAAGACCTTGTATGCATATATGCATCACCCATGGACACGAACAGTGGGGTGGTGAGGGCCTGCAATGGGCTTTTTCATACACCAATAAAAAGGGAGCAAGCTGGAAGGGGTCAATGCGGGGCGGGGGTGGGGGGAGGGGACATATGTAATACTTTCAACAATAAAGGTGTTTTTTTTAAATGGGTAAAGGCCCTGAATAGATACTTTTCCAAAGAGGATATACAGATGGCCCATAGACATGAAAAAATGCTCAGTCACTAATCATCAGAGAAATGCAAATTAGAACTACAGTGAGGCATGACCTCAAACCTGCCAGAATGGCTACCATCAATCAACAAACAAGTGCTGGTGAGGATGTGGAGAAAGGGAACCCTTGTTCACTGCTGGTGAGAATGCAGACTGATGCAGCCACTGTGAAAAACAGGATGGAGTTTCCTCAAAAAATAAAAAATGAACTGCGTTTTGACCCAGCAATCCCACTTCTGGGACTATATCCTAACAATCCCGAAACAGCAGTCAGAAATAATATATGAACTCCTATGTTTCATATATTTACAATAATCAAGATCTGGAAACAGCCCAAGTGACCATCAGTAGATGAGTGAATAAAAAAGCTGTGGTACATTTACACAACAAAATACTATGAGGCCATCACATAGGAAGGAGTTCATACCCTTTGAGACAGCATGGATGTATCTGGAGAGTATTATGCTAAGTAAAATAAGGCAGTCAGATGAAGACAAATACTATATGATCTCACTAAATGTGGAATCTAATGAACAAAATAAACTGACAAACGAAATAGAACCAGAGGTATGGATACATGGAACAGACTGACAGATGTGAGAGGGGAGGGGAGGAGGGGGAACAGGGGATAGGTGAAGGGATTAGCTAAAGAACATATATGTATTGCCTGGCCAGTGTGGATCAGTTGGTTGAGCATAGTCCCATGTATCAAGAGGTCACCAGTTCAACTCCCAATCAGGGCACAGGCTGTGGGCTTGATCCCCAGTAAGGTGTGTGCAGTAGGCAGCCGATCTATGTTTCTCTCTCATGAATATTTCTCTACCTCTCCCTTCCTCTCTCTAAAAATCAATCCTATATCATAAAAGGCCAGTGACCAACCAGAACGACCAATCAACCAGTCGTTATGAGGTGCATTGGTCCTCCCCGCAGCCCGCAGGCTCCAATCGCTGGATGGCAATGGGGAACCATGGGGAACCAAGGGTGGGTGGCAGCAGGGCAGGACTGGGGACTGGTGAGCAGGCAGAAGGCAGACCTCTTGGTCCCTTCCCCTGGCCCACAGGCTCCGATAGATCGCCAAATGGCGAACGGGTAACCAGGTGGGTGTTGGCGGCGGCGGGACTGGGGACTGGTGAACGGGTGGAAGATGGCCCTGATCGCAGGCTAGGCTTAGGGACCCTACTCGTGCACCATTTCGTGCACTGGGCCTCTAGTAGTAATATATTTTTTACATAGCCCATGGACACAGACAATAGTGTGTGGAGGGCCAAGGTGGGACAGGGGCTGGGTGGAGGTGGGCAAAGGGGGAGGAAATTGGAGACATCTGAAAGTCTCAACAATAAAAAGTTTACATAAAATAAAAATAAAAATTTTAAAGAGAAGAGGGAAAACATGGGGTAAAGAAATAGAACCAACCTAGGACTCCCAACCGGAGAGTGAAGGGAGAGCTGTGAAGCCACAGATGCGTGGTGAGGCTGAAGGCCAAGTGTTCAGGGCACCTGAGGACACACATCTTCCGACTGCACACTTGGTGACAGTGTGTGGGAGGCAAGCAAAGGGACAAGGCAACTGACTCCAGGAAGACAAAGTTTGTACAGGTGTCATTTTTAGACATAATGAAGAATCTACTGAGCACTTCTGTGATGAAGGGTGGGGTGTATGTGGTGACAGGAGCCGAGCTCCATCTACCCTCCCAAGTGGGGAAGCAGAGGATAAGGCCCCAAACTCATGTTACCTGGAAAAAAATGAAGGTAAACACCAACATAGTCTGCTACAAGGATGAGCTGCCTGTGTGAGAAAAACAGGACGGGGACTGTCTTTTGCAATAGCATTGTAGATACGTGTTACCATATGTGCAGCTGTATTTCATAAAAGACAACTTTGAAAACATGAATATAAAAAATTTAAAGTTTCAAAAGAATTTGTTGAATAAATCTTACTGGCAAATTTCTACACTAAGGTGGTACATTAGTATAGGAAACACTTTTATTATTTTGCAAGGGTCTTTTATGCTGAAACTTATCTTTTCCAGTTTATTTTGGAAGTATGATGCTCATAAAACTCATTAAAGCAACAATAACCTGAAAGCATTAATATATTGTTCAAATGGAAATGTTCCTTATTTAATAACTATTAGTTTTTAATTATACAATGATCACCTTAAAGTTTCAGAAATCTTATATAAAAATTCTTTCCAAGAAAGGATAAAAGGCATTTTAAGAATTATGAAATTACTAGAGGCCCAGTGCACGAAAATTCGTGCACTCAGGGGAGTCCCTCAACCCGGCCTGCACCCTCTCACAGTCAGAAACCCCTCGGGGGATGTGCACCTGCCGGCTTAGGCCCGCTCCCCGAGGGATCGGGCCTAAGCTGGCAGTCAGACATCCCTCTGGCAGCCGGGAGCCCTCCTTCTTAGTGCTGCAGAGGAAGGAGGGGTTCCCGCCACTGCCGCTGCGCTGGCCAGCCATGAGCCGGCTTCTGGCTGAGCGGCGCTCCCCTGTGGAAGCGCACTGACCACCAAGAGGCAGCTCCTGCATTGAGCGCCTGGCCCCTGGTGGTCAGCAACTAGTCGTTTTGCTGTTAGGGTCAATTTGCATATTACCCTTTTATTATATAGGATTCCATAAACAAAAGATTAGATTAATAGAGCATTTTAGAGAGCAATCCACATCAATCAACAAAATAAATTTAAATATTCAAGAATATGCTAGTAATTTGTCCACCAGGATTCAAATGTGGATTAATGGGCCTTTTAACAATTGACACATTTTGCATATATGTATTTAGAAGAGAAATCAATAAAAAGGTAAACCATGAGTAAGTCAGCAATGAGTCCAGGCAGGAAGTGTGCTGTTTGAGCAGCGAATCTCAGGCACACACCGTGACCCCTTCGCTCTCTCCGACATGGCAACGAGGAGAAAAACTCAGAATGAAGGAATGTCAGTCAGTTGATGTCAGGCTGCAGCTAGAATCCTTCGGGGCACTGCTTACTTTCCATGGAAGGATCTGGGGGTGCTGGGGGAACGACACACTTCCCAGGGGAGCCCCGTCCTGTGCACATGCTGGACCCGTGTTGGTTGGCCTGGGTCCCCTGGGGCTTTCCAGCCGTGACAGCGTGTGCAGAGAACAGAGAGCAAAGCCCGAGTTCTGAAGGCTCCGGTGGAAGCTGAGCCACTGGTGCCAACGGAACCTTTGTGGTCAGACAGAGAAGGCCCGGCGACATCTGAGTTGGAATGGAACTCACTGGAATCCAGGCTGTCCAACAAGGTTTTATTGAGCACCTACTCTGCGCAGCACTGAACTAGGTGCCATGGAGAATACAAGAGAAATACAAGTTATGGTACCCGCCCTCAAAGAGCTTACAGAACTAGACAGAAGTCGGATGTGCGTCACGGAGGCAGCATGTGGCGTGGAGGGTGTGCTGGCGAAGGGAGCAGTGTCCAGCGGCGGGGAGCAGCCGCTCAGGGCAGGGCAGGCAGAGTGCCCGCCATGGAAGGGCACGCTGCGAGGCGATCTGGCTGGAGCAGGGAGCTGTGCTACCCTACCCTGTGGGTACTATGGGGCCTGGACACAGGCTGGGACCTGGGTTGGGCCTGTGGGCAGATTTGCTTTAATTCCTCTCGTGACATAAAGGCCCGTGGGCCTGTGGACGCCCACTGCCTGCCTCTCCCCAGCCCGTGCCCGGAGGATGAGGGGCGGAGCAGGAGCCGAGTGCCCCACTGGAGAAGCTGGCCCAGCCCTGCAGCAGGGGAGGTTCTGCTCGGGCGGATATTCGCCCTGTGCTTTCAGATGGACCACAAAGAGCAAGATATCCTGGGTGTTTAAAAAAACTCTCCTCACAAGGACCAACCCATGAGGTCACTTACTGATCACTGGTCACAGTGTCATCCCAAAGCCAAGGTATGGAGACCATCCCCGAGACCCGTGGCTGCAGGAGCCCCACCTACACCATCTGGACCGCACACGCACAGCCCTGGTCTCCGAAGAGCGTGGTCTCTGCCCTCGACACCGGAGACCTCCGCTGGACGCCAGGCGCCAGGGTCCAATGCCAGGGAGGCCTCGCTGCCTCTCCTTCCGTGCGTTTGCAGCCTTTTCCTAGATGTTTCCCTCTGCGTCGGGGCAGCTCTGTGAAGTGGCAGGGAAGGCAGCAGAGTGGACGGGGTGAGGGGAAGCTATGGGATCGGGGGACAGGAGTGGCCGGGGTGGAACAGTCCACTGGTCTTTCCCAAGGACATGTGGCACGGAATGCTACGCTGGGCAAGAAAGCGCTGCCTGGCCTCTTACTCAGCAAAGACAGTGCAGGGCTGGGTCAGAGGCCGCGGGAGGGAGGGGAGGAGCCAGGTTGGAAGTGTGCACAGGACCCCCAGAGGCGGGGAAGAGGCGCCCTGCAGTGTGGGTGGAGCAGCAGCGGCCGTGGGGTCCCTCCTCTCCCTCCTTCAGGTGCTGGGCCAGGCATCCCCTTCCCCCTCCAGTCCTGGAATTCCAGAGGAGACCCGTGGGGTGGGGGCCAGGGCAGGCAGCGGCGGCTCAGGGTCTCAGCAGGAGGCGTGTTCCAGGCCACTTGAGCCACAGGAAGGGGACCAGGCGCCGCGTGAAGGTGGCCGTGAAGGTGTGAAGCAGCTCCTGCGACTCGGCATTGGTGAAAGTCACGGCGCCCCCTTCGTAATCCAGGGCGATGCCCACTCTCCGGGGCCGCGCTGCCGGGAAGAGCTCGGCCTCAGGGTCCGTGTTGGCCCAGATGCCCGCGGAGGAGAGGCGCAGCGCCCACACCCCGTCCTCCGGCCGCAGGGAGAGGTCTCCCTTCCTCTTCACAGAGTCTCTGGCCACGCCCACCATGCAGCTTTCCAGAACTTCCTCCTCTTCTTCCTCCTCCTCTTCTTCCTCTTCGTCCCCCAATGATTCCTCGTCCTCATCTGTTTCCCAGTTGTCGTATCCATCTCCGTAGCCCGCCTCCTCTTCCTCCTCCTCTTCCCCCTCTTCCTCCTCGTCCCCGTCCTCTTCATCCTCGGACCAGCCCTCCCTCTCCACCTCCACTTCCCAGTAGACCTTGCCCCAGGTGAAGCCCTTGCTGCCCAGCACCCCCGGCTCACAGTCGAACTGCTGGGGGTGCAGGTAGGCGCAGTGGTACAGGTCGCTGTTGTAGGTCACGCACTTGCAGTCCTCCGACAGCAGCAGGGACCTGCTGGCCGACTGCGGGTCCAAGGTGACACTCACTGTGGGAGCAAAGGAGGAGGTAACAGTGTCACCAGTGGGCCCAGAGGGCCACCCGTCTCCACGGTGTCCATGGGCAGGGCTGCCACACGGCACCACCCCAGGGGCCAGTCACACCATGGTACCGCACGCAGGGCACGCCCTGGCCTAGGCTGCCCTCCCAGTGGGCTCCAAATACGGAAGCATGTGATCAGGCTGATGAGAGGAAACTGCGTCAGGGAAGGGACTGGCGGCAGGCCCTGTGAGGCTGGAACCACCAGACACGGACACAGGGCAGCGAAGGGCCAGACCGTGTCGTGGAGCCTCCACTGCAGCGGAGGGCAGACAGTGGTCAGAGATGAAGTGGGGCTTGAGCTCTGCTGCTGGGAGGTTCTCCCTGTGGCATGAGGGGACTCCTGGCAGGGGACACCACCATCTCCGTGGGAACCACCTGCTGAACACTCACCCGTCTTATATTCCAAGTCTCTTAGCAGCTTCCCTGCAGAGAAGAGGAGGACACCGATGGCCGCAGGCCCAGCACCGCGGCTCCCTGCTCCCGAAGCAGCCTCGGGCGCCCGAGAGCGGGGCCAGGAGGAGCGGGGTCCAGCCCCGCTCCCGCCCCCACCCAGGCTCCCAGCCTTACCCTGGAAATTCCCGCAGGCCTCGCTGCAGAGACACGAGTTTATCCGAAGAACTCTCTGTCCTTTTCTTAACCACCCGAACAATGGTTTCCCGAGCAAAACTTCTTC